GTGGTGCTGTTACCTGAGGAATTAAGTACTCGGTATAATGGTTGCCCAGTGAAGATGATAGGACACAGACCCGAGATTAGTCTCATAAGAGGCAATGGGTAGTCTGGCCGTAAACACTAGCAAAGAAAATGATAAAACTACCACCATTCGATTCGTCTCAGTGAGAAGATTCTAATAAGCTATGATACATCTTTGTACGATTATTAGATGCCAAGTTATTTAATATATTCTTTATATAACTGTGATTATAAACGGTTCTTTTTAATATAAGATTTTTGAGGATAGGTGTGATAGTGACTATAGATAGATTGTGACTATATAGGATAGATTTTAATAATAAAGTGTTTTGAACATTCAACTGGTGTGACTATATAGTAGAATGTGACTATAACGGGAGTGACTATAGAGGGAGTTGACTGTAATCATAATAGAAATTTCATTATTCTAAATAATATCATTTTAATATTAAAATAATATTATTTTGATATTATTATATAATATCACCATAATATAACTACTATATAATATTATTAAAATAATATTAAATAATATCTGAAACTATATCATAATAATATTATTAATGGTTATATGATATTGTTAAAATTATTTTAATAATTTTGTTTTGATATTTATTATAAGATATGATGGTCTAATGCAAAAAGATTTGTACCTCAAAAAAACGTCAATAAAAATTTTTTTTATTAATAAACTTATTTTTTTTATATAAATTTCATCAGTACATATTCAGAAATATTATAATTCCATTATTATACTAAATTATGCATCATTGTATTATCATCAGATTTACTATAATCATCAGGTTTTTTATCAATTAATTATTTATCTTCGTTAACCTCAAAATATGCATTGGTATTTTAAGCACTTTACTTTAAAATTTAATTATATTTTTTAAATTAATTTTATTTTTAAAAAATGTATTTCAAATAGACAACAAATTTAAGTGCAAATTTAATTTTGCAACTTTATGTTTACAATTGTCCAAATACCTTTAATTGGCTGGAATTTGTAGTGTTAGGTTATATAAAAAACTTCATAATCATATTATTTTGCTATTTTAACACAAAAAAATAATAACTTTTTCTTTAATATATATTTAAAACTAGGTCCAATAATTCTGGCTTTTGTATTCATTAGAAAAGTTTCCTATTTTTCTGTAATTGAAGTTGAAATAAGCCATTTAAGTGTTTTATGTGGTATAAATGTGTCATTACTGCATTTATTTAAGTCTAATATAATGCTTCCAATTGTATTCTTAGTACATCTAATGTCTCAATAACTCACTTGCATAATTTAAGTTTCAAATGGCTTTCTTCTGTAAAATTAGTCTTAGAAGAATAATTGTGCACATTTAATATTATTAATTTTTTATTGTCAACTAGCGATCCACCTCTTTGTTTTAAGAAAGAAGGAAGTATCATATAATAAAAAAATTTTAGCAGCAAATTCAAACAATTATATTCTAATAAATATGTAAATCTCAGTCCGTTATATTTAGTTATACAAAATTTTTCCTTAGTGTAAATCTTATTCTTTTTTAGTAAGATACATGTCTTTTTGCACCAGATCATATTAAAATAATGTTGTAATAATAAATGATATTGTAATGATATTGTAATAAAATTATTTGATATTGATTTGATATTGTTACAATATTAAATAAAATAAAGGTTATTAAAATAATTTTAACAATATTGTTTAAAATTTTAGGGTTTTAATAAAGATATTGGAGAGCATTATTCTGTTTTTTAGCAGCATAGTAGGTCTTATAAAATTCCAAATTAGCATAAAAATAAGAAGTATTGCTTTAAGATTAAATTATTTGTTATATGTATTTTACTTATTGAGTAAAATTGATGTTTCAACTGTTTTTCAAATAGTTGTGTAATTACAGTTATATAAAAATAGAGTTGTGATTGTAAATTACAAGTTACAATTAATAAGATTTAGTTATAACTATATCTCTACTGCTGAATTTAAATCCTACTTGATAATGTATATATAAAGTGTTTTTTTTAATATAATAAGTAATAATTATATTAAAATTAGTTATAAGATAAATACTATGTATTATTTTCTTCATATTTTTCTTTAATAAACTACTAAATGTATTGCAGGTAATAAAATAAAAAATTATATTTATTATTAAAAAAAATTTTGGTAGAAAATTTTTATAAACTTAAACAATTTAACAAATAAGAAAAAAATTATTAATTTAATAAATAATTTATATTTCTTTATTAAAATTTCATTTACTTTCAATAAAGAATATTGAAATTATAATATAAAATTTATATGTAAAAAATTTTGAAAATCCTACTATATAGATGAATTACATATAAAAAGGAAATATTACACTAAATTATTATGATTTTTCCTTCTTTTTTAAGACCAATTAATCAATAAAATTACTAGTAAAATTACTAATAAATTTGAAATTTTTTATGAATTATAAGTATTATAAGTAAAATTCTCCTTTATTATATATTTAATTTATCAATAAATTTATTTTACATTAATTTAATTTTATTTATATACTATTAAAATATATAAACTTTTTATAATACACTAAAAAGTAAATTTAAAGTATATATATTTTTTTACTTATGGATATTAAAGACAAAAGTTTATATATGCACTATACTAGTATTCAAAAATTCCAATATAATATTTTCCTTACTACTAATTATATTAATTATCAAAAAAAGTCATTTTAGAATTTCGAGTCAAGGTGCGGGCGCCCGTAATTTTGGCCAAACCGGGGAGGTATAGCCTTGGCCTAAATCACAAGCAGTAGTGATAATCACGTGATTATATATTTGATATATTTGATTTTGAAATTGAAATGTTCATTGGGTAGTATAATCTCAGTTACATAAACTTAGCATATTAGTCAAACTTGCTTTTTGTTTTTTACCAAAAAGAAAATGTCAAATTTTTCTGAAAATATTGCGCATAATCCCAAATTATTCGCGTCCTCTAACTCCCTGTGACGCGGTTGGCTAAAGTAGAAACTTCATTACAAATATGCCTACCTTTTCACAAGAAAGAGGAATTAGGATGCACCAATTTAATAAACATGCTATTCATATTTAATATGGTGTCCTTTGGCCTAATATTAGATTTGAGCTACAGAAAGTTGTTTTTATTTACTTCAAACTAATCAAAAATAAATATTAATTATATTAATTATTAGTACATTATTATAATTACGGCATTTTGTAAATCCTTTCCGAAGTCCGAACAAGAATTTCTGTGTTATCCAAGCGAACTAAATTTTCGAAATTTAAACGTGCATATTTTACTGGAAGGATATTTACGAAAGAAATACACGTTGTGGGTCAAGTGTTAAGTTTGTTTATTTATCGTTATCCAAGTTTAGTCAAATTTGATATTTAAGTGCATGTTGGTTGAGCCTATCAAATTAAATTTTTTAATCATGGATGATCTATACGATGGTATGTCATCATCCTTTGTACGAATTTTTTGTCCGCCAATCGTAATAAATAAATGAAAAATGCAAATTAAGTAAAATATAAGTGTACAATTTTTTCTATCGCAACTCTTTAGAAACTTTTCTTTAAAGAAATAAGCCATCTCGGTAAATATTTTTTTCACCCATATGTAAGCACTGTACAGTCTGTACCAATTTTTCGTGGCACATTGGAAGTCAACCTTCTTTAATTCTAAGTCTTGGGGACATATTGTCCAAATTTTACTCGGGCAAAAAAAGAAGAAACAAAAGTAAGGAATAAAACAATTTTTTACACCTCCTACAGCCTAGCATACTTCCGAGTGTTCATTATTGGACAGCATATTTCGGCTGTGATGCATAAGTATGAATCACACGCCTCAAACCGTGATTGAAGTTCCCCAGTATTTCGACGAGGTTGACATAGATCATTTAATGTATATGATTGGTCAGTCGGAGTTTTGTTTTATTAAAATTTATTGAATAAAATTAAAAAAAAATAGACTTATTTGTTTATCTTGTTTTTGTTTCTTTCGTTTCATTTATTCATTTATTTATTTATTTGTTTATTTGAAAAAAAAATTTTACAGCTGATATGTTGGGCCGTCTAATTGATCATAATGATCGGATTCCTCTGACGCCTGCTAACTTAACCCGATTTCATTCCAGAGCTCCACCTGCTATAACGGTGTCTGATTATCTTCGTCGAATAGTGAGATACACATCTATAGAGAAAGCCTGCCTCTTAATACTTCTCATATATATAGACAGAGTATGTGAACGCCACAAGACATTCACAATAACGTCTTTGACTGTACATCGTTTTATCATAGCTGCAGTTACAGCCTCTTCCAAAGCTTTATGTGATTCGTATTGCACAAATTCACATTATGCAAGGGTGGGCGGAATATCCATACAGGAACTAAACACCTTAGAATTAGAATTTATGTTTCTTATCGATTGGCAGTTGATCTGCTCTGGGGAAACATTACAACAATATTACGCGAATCTAGTCAAACAAAGTACAAGATATCGGAGGGCTGTTCCTGCCTCGGAATGTGACAACTATGAGTCTGCTATGCCGATGGGAGGAACAGACACTAACAATAATACTAAATAACATGACAAACAATACCGGATAAAACAACAAGTGCCCAGGGAAAATCGATCATGATATTGAGGAAAAAAAAAAGACATCATTACAAATATCCCTCTTACTCATTTAATTTATATGCAAAAAGATAATTATTTGTTCTATCTAATTTCTTATATTGGTGTTAGATATTATTAGATCATAACCAAGGCATGATGATGAATGGATGGATGAATTAAGTTGTGGATAAAGGATTGCTAATTGAAGACGAGTTAATGTTGAACCGCGTTGTTCAAGATTTCTCGGTGACGCAATAAAAAGAAAGGCAAACACACTTTCTTAATTAGAAACAGTTAAAATTTGGAATAGCCCCTCTTCATTTTCCTTTTGTTTTTTCTCTTTTTTTTGAACTTTTTATCAATTAAAACTCAATAATGATATTTAATTCCTTTGCTTTTCGCCTTTCGTCGCGATATTTTTTTTCTTTGCTTGTACATATTAATTACATTACTAAATTTGTAATAAACTCTTTGTACATTTATAGACCAAAAAAACCTTAAAAATAAATGATATTTCACGTGTTTTGAATTGTTATAACTATTTCAAGATCATCTGTAGATTTCCATCTCATTTAAAATTTATTTGTTACACAATGGTACACCACATGTATTAGCATTGTTCATTTATTCGTTCTTTATTTTTATTAAAAATACAAGTGATACAGCATATTAACTGATACAGCATATTAACTTAAAAATGAATGCGGAAGGTTTTTTCGCAGTACGTGCTTATTATCATAAGACTTTCTCTTTTAAAGTAAGTTTATTTAATAACAATTATTAATTTATTTCTAATTATCTCCACATTTAATTCCACGTAACAAACCTTTTTTAGGGAAATTTTTAATTCAATTAAAAATGTTTGCTTTTTATTGCTAACGTTGTTTTATCTGATTATAATCTGATTATAATCTTTCACCTCGCCGATCAATTCGCCGATCATATACATATTATACGATTATCGAAGAACTCTTCAAAAATTATTCATTTTTTATTTTATAATTTCACATGAAAACTGCTATTGATATATTATGCTATTGTTTTCTGAACATCAATTGTGTCAGTATATTATTAAACAATTTGGATTAACTAATAAGAAGTGTTTGCTATTGGCCGTTTGGCCGGAGCTTTGGCCGTTACCGTGACCAAAATGCTAATCACCACTTAATAAGTACTCTGGCCAAAAAAATTTGGCCTTGGCCGTTTTGGTCGTTTGGCTGTTTTTTGGCCGTGGTCAAATGGTCAAAAAATCCTTGTCCCAACACTGAACAAGTAATAATTTAAAAATTGTATTTTATTGGAACTTCCTAAATAGGGCAATTACAAATCTGAATTATTTTATTTTAAATTATGTAATATATAGTTTAATTTCCTATATATGTGTGTGTATACTACAAGGCAATTACTTTATTTTAATATGATTTTCTATAAAACTAAAATATAATAGTCTTTAGAACAAAAATTAAATTATAATTTAGGTTTAAAATTTATTAAATAAATGTATTTTATATAAGATCATAAGACTTCAGTATTATTTCCAAACTTATTTATATTAGTAATAGCCAATAACTATTTAAACATTACTAATTTGTATAGAAAAATAACAGATAAAATAAATTCAATTTTTTTTTTAATGTATGCATAATACTATTTATTAACAGAATTTCTATTACATCAAAATAACATTATTAATACAATAACTATCCATTCAACTAGTATATATATACAATAAAAAAAATAAAATAAATTCAAAATAAAATAATTCAATTAAATGGCAAATAATTATTAAATATAATAACTTTATTAATATATCTATTTACACTTTTCAGTAAAAAGTATCTAACTTACCTGTAAATTACTATTATAATTGTACTTTTAAATAATAAGGTATTTTTTTTTAATAATTAACTTATTTATAGTTATACAATTAATTTTTTCTAAATATACTTTTCTTAAAAATTAAAACTATAATAAAAATTTGAAAATATGCATTTAGAAAGAAAAATTATATATAATTTTTATATACTTGAAATTGAGTAAGAAAATATATTTGAAAATACATTTAAAGAAAGTTAATATATAATTGAAGTTTTTCATTATAATAAAAATATAAAATACATATTGCTTGTAAGTTTCAATTTTTATCCAAAAATTTGCAAATTTTAAAAATATAGTATAATAAGACTCCACTTACTCCTAATAGAGGTTTCCAGAAAAAATTTCAAATTTACTAGTAATTTTAGCAGTGATCCTATTGGTTAATTGATATAAAAAGGAAAAAAATCATAACAACTTAGTGTAATATTTCCTTTTTTAGAAGTAATTTATCTATATATAGTAGGATCTTTAAAAATCCTCAATTATAAATTTTACCTTAGATTTCCGATGACCTATCTTATAAGTAAGTGGGATTCTAATATAATATCAAATTTTTTAGTTAATTTATACTTTAAATTATTAAATAAAGTTATAATAGTCAAATAAAAAGCAATAAAATTGAATAATTTTACAAAAGTTTTAAAGGAAGTTATAAATAAAATTGATAATATTAAAGTAAGTTATTGCTACTTCTTTTACCTATTTATAGTAATAAAAAAAAGAAATCTTTAGTAGTAAAATTTAATATAATTATAAAATTATTAAATTAATTGATATATTATTTTATAAGTTAAATAAATTTTTTTTTTTTAATAATTTATATATGCTTTATTAATATTAAGTTTATATACTATATAAACAAATTATCATGAGCTATATCCATTCAGAAGGATGCAATCATCAAAAACAAGATTAATTAACATATTATTTAATATTAATTATTAATATAATGCTAATTATCATTATAATTGAATTTTTTACTAGGAAAATGATCTGAAAAATTTTTTAACTAATTTTAAGTTAATCTTATTTTATTCTACTTGTTTTAAAAAATAGAGAATAATAAAAATCCTAATATTGTAAATTATTTATAGAAAATGTCTAAAAAAATGATTTTTATATTGCTAATTTTTTGTATAATACTAACTTCTGTAATATCTAATATAAAAAAATAAATTTATATGGTTAAAAAGTTATAATTTAAACTTTAATTTTTCAGTTTAAAAAGATTTTTTTTATTAAAAAATTTTTTGAGAAAACTTTGTATAAAGTTTTAAAATTCAATAACCTTCTGAGAAATTTTTTAACTAATTTAAATTAATTTTATTTTATTAATATTATTTAAAAAAATAACTGATTTACTATAATAATTTTTAATATTTTAAAGATATATTTAATATATCAAAATACTTTTATTATACTTTTATTATTATTTTGTAATTGTACTATATCTGATTTTATAAAAATAATATTTTTATTATTATTTGATTATTGTATTAGAGTTCTAAATAGGTTAGATCAGATCAGGTTAGGTCAAGTAACTTTTCTAATTTAATCTGACCTGTTTGATCTAAAAATATTTATAATAATTATGAAAAATACTGACTATTTTATCATTCAGTGATTATAAAAATATAAAATATAGCTTATTTAGTTTATTTTAATAAAAATAATACTAGATGTTGAATTATATTATATATCAGTATTTACATTTCGTTTACTATGTCATTCTATATTTTATTAAATATTTTGTTATCCAGTAATTATAAAAATATAAAACACAGTTCATTTGATTTTATTACAGTAAGATAAATTAAATGGTATTAATTTCATATTATTAACTATAATAGATGATGAGATATTTAATGAAATATCAACAAATCAGTATTTTTCATTTTTATTTACTGCACCATTTATATTTTATTAAATATCTTGCCATCCAATAATTATAAAAGTATGAAATACAGCTTATTCAATTCGTCTCAGTAATACAAGTTAAATAATATTAGTTTCACATTTTTAGATATGATAGATAACAAGATATTTAGTGAATGAAAATGAAAAATGCTAATTCAGTTTATTAACATTTTGTCAAATATTTCATCATTTATCATATTTAAAAATGCACAATTAGTACTATTTAATTTATTTCATTAAGATGAATTGAATGAGTTGTGTTTTATATTTATACAAACAAATTATTTATTAAAGTATTTTTATAGTATTTTTTTTATATATTAATATTGAAATAGCATTTTTTTTCTCTTATATTAATATGAAAAAATGCTATTTTAGCATTTTTTTATAAATATAAATAATAAATATACCAAAATAGTATTTTTTTTAAAAAAACTATATTTTAATATTTTTATTTTAGATCAATAGCTGAGGTAAATCAGATCAATTTAAACTTTAACCTAACCTAATACTGAATCAAGATTTATTAATCTGGTCTGAAATTTTGAAATTACCTAATCTGTTCAAAACTCTAATTGTAATGTAATTAACTTTAATATTATTTTAATATATTTTAAATTTTATAAAATAATTGCATAGTTATTTTAAAAGTTATTGTATTTAATTTATAAAAAATTAGTAATTTTTTGTAAAGTAGATAAGTTATATATAAAATGTATATTTTAATACTTTTTTAGTAAGATAAAAAGAAATTTTTCATAAGTATAAAGAAAAAAACAATTATAAATCTTTAAATATTTAAATAATTAATTAATTTTCTATTTTTGTTATATTTATTAATTTGATAGATTTCAAAAAGTGATATAAATACAATATATTAAATTCAAACATATATAATTCCAACATACTTAAATATAATTTTAAATTATAGAGTTATATAGCTAGACTTTAATTACATTGTAAATTAAATAAATTCTGAAAAAATTTTGGATTCTATTAGCATTAAGTATAATAAAATTAAATATTAAAAACTTTTCTATAAATATTTAAAAGAGAAAATTTATTTCTCTTCCCAAAGTGAGATCAATTATTACTTACCCCTATATCACTGATTGGCTAATCAGACTTTACAATTATGTCATAATAGTTAATCAGTTATTTATTTATACGCGT